GCAGTGTTTGAGAGGCAGGTAGTGTTAAGTGGGAAGTCATGGCCAGGTGCAGTGTTTGAGAGGCAGGTAGTGTAAGTGGGAAGTCATGGCCAGGTGCAGTGTTTGAGAGGCAGGTAGTGTAAGTGGGAAGTCATGGCCAGGTGCAGTGTTTGAGAGGCAGGTAGTGTAAGTGGGAAGTCATGGCCAGGTGCAGTGTTTGAAAGGCAGGTAGTGTAAGTGGGAAGTCATGGCCAGGTGCAGTGTTTGAAAGGCAGGTAGTGTAAGTGGGAAGTCATGGCCAGGTGCAGTGTTTGAGAGGCAGGTAGTGTAAGTAGGAAGTCATGGCCAGGTACAGTGTCTAAACTTACTTCCTGTTCAGAACATCCACACTTACTACTGTGCAATCTATATCTATAGGACCTTAAATTCCAATATTAACCTTGACCTAAAACGCTTTCTTGATAGTTGTGACAGGATCCACAGGCATAACACCAGACACAAACATCTCTATGACATTCCCCGTGTTCGACTAAACCTTTACAAAAATTCAATGTATTTCAAAGGACCTAAAATCTGGAACACCCTACCTGAAAACTCTAGAACTGCAGACACATTCATCACCTTCAAAACTACAGTTAGAAAACATCTTATATCCCTGATCCACCCCGACAACTAACTACATGATAACCACCTGGTGGTTCAAAATTACACTCACTCACCCACTGACTATAAACCCAGAAATACTAATCTTAATCTTAAAATAATAAATCCTAACTAGTCATAAGTTTGCCTATGTTACTCAAATATAGACACCTTGTATTGTGCCAAAACAAAAGCATTCACATTGATAAACTCACAAATTATGATGTAGTCACTTAGCCTTAATACCATAATCTATAAGGATTTAATGTTAAGAATTAATCTAAGTCTGCCCGAAATGCCTAGCCATGCTAGGTGTCCTAGTGGCCCCCTCTGTAATTAGTATTTTATAACATGTAAACCACACAATACCCAAAACCTGTAAACCCCACATTGTAACCCTTATAGAGAATAAACTTGAATTGAATTGAATGGCCAGGTGCAGTGTTTGAGAGGCAGGTAATGTAAGTGGGAAGTCATGGCCAGGTGCAGTGTTTGAGAGGCGGGTAGTGTAAGTGGGAAGTCATGGCCAGGTGCAGTGTTTGAGAGGTGGGTAGTGTAAGTGGGAAGTCATGGCCAGGTGCAGTGTTTGAGAGGCGGGTAGTGTAAGTGGGAAGTCATGGCCAGGTGCAGTGTTTGAGAGGTGGGTAGTGCAAGTGGGAAGTGGTCAGATGCAGTGTTTGAGAGGCGGGTAGTGTAAGTGGGAAGTCATGGCCAGGTGCAGTGTTTGAGAGGTGGGTAGTGTAAGTAGGGAGTCATGGCCAGGTGCAGTGTTTGAGAGGCGGGTAGTGTAAGTGGGAAGTCATGGCCAGGTGCAGTGTTTAAGAGGCGGGTAGTATAAGTGGGAAGTCGTGGTCATGTGCAGTGTTTGAGAGGCGGGTAGTGTAAGTGGGAAGTCATGGCCAGGTGCAGTGTTTGAGAGGCAGGTAGTGTAAGTGGGAAGTCATGGCCAGATGCAGTGTTTGAGAGGCAGGTAGTGTAAGTGGGAAGTCATGGCCAGATGCAGTGTTTGAGAGGCAGGTAGTGTAAGTGGGAAGTCATGGCCAGATGCAGTGTCTGAGAGGCTGGTAGTGTAAGTGGGAAGTCATGGCCAGGTGCAGTGTTTGAGAGGCAGGTAGTGTAAGTGGGAAGTCATGGCCAGATGCAGTGTTTGAGAGGCAGGTAGTGTAAGTGGGAAGTCATGGCCAGATGCAGTGTTTGAGAGGCAGGTAGTGTAAATGGGAAGTCATGGCCAGATGCAGTGTTTGAGAGGCAGGTAGTGTAAGTGGGAAGTCATGGCCAGATGCAGTGTTGAGAGGCAGGTAGTGTAAGTGGGAAGTCATGGCCATGTATGGTTTCTGCCTCCACTACATCACATGCCAGACTATTCCACTTCCTGACAACTCTATGACTGAAGAAATAATTCCTAACATCCCTTTGACTCGTCTGAGTCTTCAACTTCCAGTTGTGGCCCCTTGTTTCTGTGTTCCCTCTCTGAAACATCCTGTCTGTCCACCTTATCTATTCCGTGTGTGTGTGTGTGTGTGTGTGTGTGTGTGTGTGTGTGTGTGTGTGTGTGTGTGTTACAACCCAGGAGTCCCAAAGGCCTGTTATCCTGGGTGTAAAGGGAGCAAAATAAACACAGCAGAAAAACTTTTGACTTGTATTATCCTTCACCAATTTAGAACAGAAGTATGTACACTGTATACACTATGTACAACAATGGGTATTAGTGCACTCCACGGTAAGCAAGGCAGAATAGAAGCCACTAGAGAGCAGACCGTGCTTCAACCAGCTCTAGAATGGCAATGACAAGGGCAGACAGGTGTGTGGTACCCACAACACCTCTGCGATTGCCAAAACCATCTTCTCATTGGCTGGAACCTGGGTACTGATTGAACGACGGGGCCCCATCGTCAACCCTTAGTACCTGGTTCGCTGGTTGAGGGAGATAGCCTTTCAATGAGGGTGTGTACATGCGCCGAATAAAGGTTATGTACTCTTTGTATGTCACAGTGTGTGTGTGTGTGTGGTAGTAGTAGTAGTAATTACTAGTTGTCAAAAGTACTTATCAGTTGTGTGTGTGTGTGTGTGTGTGTGTGTGTGTGTGTGTGTGTGTGTGTGTGTGTGTGTGTGTGTGTGTGTGTGTGTGTGTTTGCGTGTGTGTGTTTGCGTGTGTGTGTGTGTGTGTGTGTGTGTGTTTGCGTGTGTTTGCGTGTGTGTGTGCGTGTGTTTGTGTGTGTGTGTGTGTGTGTGTGTGTGTGTGTGTGTGTGTGTTAAAGTTTAAGAGGCCCTTATTGAATCGTTGTTTATTAGGTTCTCCATTACATGGACGGTCGTTGTTGACTCAGTTATGTTTGTCACGCTCAAATTTCACTTGCCGACTCCGCTTTTACCGCCATTACTCTTTGTTTGCGCTCTCTTGAATCTTATCATATTTACTCTTGAAGCTGCGCATTATATATGGCTCCTCTGTATAGTCACCTGTTAGTAGTTGTTTATAAGGGTCGAGGCATCTTAATTTGCCTCTTGCCAGATCCACTTGCTCCTAGCCTCGTGGATCCTATCTAATCTGGAGATCTAATCTGGAGAGAGTTCCGGGGGTCAACGCCCCCGCGGCCCGGTCTGTGACCAGATGTAAGATTTTCTTCGGATTTTTAACCACGGAGGGTTAGCCACCCAGGATAACCCAAGAAAGGCAGTGCGTCATCGAGGACTGTCTTATTTGCATTGTGGTCCTCAATCTTGTCCTCCAGGATGCAACCCACACCAGTCAGCTAACACCCAGGTACCTACTTACTGCTAGGTGAATGAGGACAAGTGTAAGCAAACTCATAATGTTTCCACCTTGCCGGGAATCGAACCACGGCTGCTCTGTGTGAAACTGGAGCGTTGCCTACCAGGCTACGGGACATCTGTTTCTATCTACGTATGTATGGGTCCTTATCTTGTCCAACACCTGTATGTATGGATCCTTATTTTGTCCAACACCTGTATGTATGGATCCTTATTTTGTCCAACACCTGTATGTATGGATCCTTATTTTGTCCAACACCCGTATGTATGGATCCTGCCTCCACAACCTCTTCCTTCAGGTCATATCACTTCCTAACCAATCAGAGGCTAAAGAAATACTTCCTGACATCCTTGTGACTCGTTTGTGTTTTTTTTTTTGTTTTTGTTTCCAAATGTTGCCTTGTGTACTTGTTCCTTGCCTCTCCACCCCTCAAGGGAGGTTCCTTGATGCTGGTGAGGGGCTCTTGATCTGGGGAATTGGATCTGTGCTCCGGTTCCCTGAATTGAGTCTGAATACCTTCCATCCCCCCCCATGCGCTGTATAATCCTACGGGTTTAGCGCTCCCCATGATTATAATTATTATAATCCTTGCCTCTCCAGCACTTTGTTACTGTTAACACTAGTCTAGTTCTCTGAGTACTTTGTATGTCATTATCATGTCTCTCTTGTGTACTCGTCACCATTAATTCTCTCTTAACTTCATCATTAATTCTCTCTTAACTTCATCAATTTGTGATGGTACAGTAAACGCCTCAGAAATTTGTGATTGGAATTTGATACATTGATGACCGTGTGCTTGTTATGACGAGCCGGGAGAGTGAGTGTGTGTGTGAGAGTGAGAGTGAGAGTCTGTGTGTGTGTGAGTGAGAGTGAGAGTGTGTGTGTGTGTGAATGAGAGTGAGAGTGTGTGTGTGTGTGAGTGAGAGTGTGTGTGTGTGAGAGAGAGTGAGTGTGTGTGAGAGTGAGTGAGAGTGTGTGTGGTGAGAGTGAGAGTGAGAGTGTGTGTGTGTGTGAGTGAGAGTGAGAGAGAGAAACAGAGTGTGAGAGTTGTGTGTGTGTGTGAGTGAGAGTGAGAATATGAGCGTGAGAGAGAGTGAGAGTGTTTGTGAGTGAGAGTGAGAGAGAGAAACAGAGTGTGAGAGTGTGTGTGTGTGAGAGAGTGAGAGTGAGAGAGTGTGTGTGTGTGAGAGTGAGAGAGTGAGTGTGTGAGAGAGTGAGAGTGAAAGAGTGTGTGTGTGTGAGAGAGAGTGAAAGAGTGTGTGTGTGTGAGTGAGAGTGAGAATATGAGCGTGAGAGAGAGTGAGAGTGTTTGTGAGTGAGAGTGAGAGAGAGAAACAGAGTGTGAGTGTGTGTGAGAGAGGGTGTGTGAGAGAGGGTGTGTGAGAGTGTGAGTGAGAGAGTGTGAATGAGAGTGAGAGAGAGAGAGTGATTGTGAGTGAGAGAGAGAGCAGTGTGTAGTGAGGGGAAGACATCATTATTTTACAAAGTTGTATTTATTATTATTATTATTATTATTATTATTATTATTATTATTATTATTATTATTATTATTATTATTATTATTCCTGAACTTATTATACAAAAATATTTTTTCCTTCTTTTCCAGGAAATAAATTAAAGCGACTTGGTATAGATCTGATGGAACTTGAGCAGAGGTGAGTTGTGTGCACCACTAAGTTGTGTTGATGTGTGCACCACTAAGTTGTGTTGATGTGTGAACCACTAAGTTGTGTTGATGTGTGCACCACTAAGTTGTGTTAATGTGTGCACCACTAAGTTGGTTGATGTGTGCACCACTAAGTTGTGTTGATGTGTGCACCACTAAGTTGTGTTGATGTGTGACCACTAAGTTGTGTTGATGTGTGCACCACTAAGTTGTGTTGATGTGTGCACCACTAAGTTGTGTTGATGTGTGCACCACTAAGTTGTGTTGATGTGTGAACCACTAAGTTGTGTTGATGTGTGCACCACTAAGTTGTGTTGATGTGTGCACCACTAAGTTGTGTTGATGTGTGCACCACTAAGTTGTGTTGATGTGTGCACCACTAAGTTGTGTTGATGCGTGCACCACTAAGTTGTGTTGATGTGTGAACCACTAAGTTGTGTTGATGTGTGAACCACTAAGTTGTGTTGATGTGTGAACCACTAAGTTGTGTTGATGTGTGCACCACTAAGTTGTGTTGATGTGTGCACCACTAAGTTGTGTGTTGATGTGTGCACCACTAAGTTGTGTTGATGTGTGCACCACTAAGTTGTGTTGATGTGTGCACCACTAAGTTGTGTTGATGTGTGCACCACTAAGTTGTGTTGATGTGTGCACCACTAAGTTGTGTTGATGTGTGCACCACTAAGTTGTGTTGATGTGTGCACCACTAAGTTGTGTTGATGTTGCACCACTAAGTTGTGTTGATGTGTGCACCACTAAGTTGTGTTGATGTGTGAACCACTAAGTTGTGTTGATGTGTGCACCACTAAGTTGTGTTGATGTGTGAACCACTAAGTTGTGTTGATGTGTGCACCACTAAGTTGTGTTGATGTGTGCACCACTAAGTTGTGTTGATGGTGGCACCACTAAGTTGGTTGATGTGTGCACCACTAAGTTGTGTTGATGTGTGCACCACTAAGTTGTGTTGATGTGTGCACCACTAAGTTGTGTTGATGTGTGCACCACTAAGTTGTGTTGATGTGTGCACCACTAAGTTGTGTTGATGTGTGAACCACTAAGTTGTGTTGATGTGTGCACCACTAAGTTGTGTTGATGTGTGCACCACTAAGTTGTGTTGATGTTGATGATGTGTGCACCACTAAGTTGTGTTGATGTGTGCACCACTAAGTTTGTTGATGTGTGACAAAGTTGTGTTGATGTGTGCACCACTAAGTTGTGTTGATGTGTGAACCACTAAGTTGTGTTGATGTGTGAACCACTAAGTTGTGTTGATGCGTGCACCACTAAGTTGCGTTGATGTGTGCACCACTAAGTTGTGTTGATGTGTGCACCACTAAGTTGTGTTGATGTGTGCACCACTAAGTTGTGTTGATGTGTGAACCACTAAGTTGTGTTGATGTGTGCACCACTAAGTTGTGTTGATGTGTGAACCACTAAGTTGTGTTGATGTGTGCACCACTAAGTTGTGTTGATGTGTGCACCACTAAGTTGTGTTGATGTGTGAACCACTAAGTTGTGTTGATGTGTGGACCACTAAGTTGTGTTGATGTGTGAACCACTAAGTTGTGTTGATGTGTGAACCACTAAGTTGTGTTGATGTGTGCACCATTAAGTTGTGTTGATGTGTGCACCACTAAGTTGTGTTGATGTGTGCACCACTAAGTTGTGTTGATGTATGAACCACTAAGTTGTGTTGATGTGTGAACCACTAAGTTGTGTTGATGTGTGAACCACTAAGTTGTGTTGATGTGTGCACCACTAAGTTGTGTTGATGTTTGAACCACTAAGTTGTGTTGATGTGTGAACCACTGAGTTGTGTTGATGTGTGCACCACTAAGTTGTGTTGATGTGTGAACCACTAAGTTGTGTTAATGTGTGCACCACTAAGTTGTGTTGATGTGTGAACCACTAAGTTGTGTTGATGTGTGCACCACTAAGTTGTGTTGATGTGTGAACCACTAAGTTGTGTTGATGTGTGCACCACTAAGTTGTGTTGATGTGTGAACCACTAAGTTGTGTTGATGTGTGCACCACTAAGTTGTGTTGATGTGTGCACCACTAAGTTGTGTTGATGTGTGCACCACTAAGTTGTGTTGATGTGTGCACCACTAAGTTGTGTTGATGTGTGAACCACTAAGTTGTGTTGATATGTGAACCACTAAGTTGTGTTGATGTGTGCACCACTAACTTGTGTTGATGTGTGAACCACTAAGTTGTGTTGATGTGTGCACCACTAACTTGTGTTGATGTGTGAACCACTAAGTTGTGTTGATGTGTGAACCACTAAGTTGTGTTGATGTGTGCACCACTAAGTTGTGTTGATGTGTGAACCAATAAGTTGTGTTGATGTGTGCACCACTAAGTTGTGTTAATGTGTGAACCACTAAGTTGTGTTGATGTGTGCACCACTAAGTTGTGTTGATGTATGAACCACTAAGTTGTGTTGATGTGTGAACCACTAAGTTGTGTTGATGTGTGAACCACTAAGTTGTGTTGATGTGTGCACCACTAAGTTGTGTTGATGTGTGAACCACTAAGTTGTGTTGATGTGTGAACCACTAAGTTGTGTTGATATGTGCACCACTAAGTTGTGTTGATGTGTGAATCACTAAGTTGTGTTAATGTGTGCACCACTAAGTTGTGTTGATGTGTGAACCACTAAGTTGTGTTGATGAGTGCACCACTATGTTGTGTTGATGTGTGAACCACTAAGTTGTGTTGATGTGTGAACCACTAAATTGTGTTGATGTGTGCACTAAGTTGTGTTGATGTGTGAACCACTAAGTTGTGTTGATGTGTGCACCACTAAGTTGTGTTGATGTGTGAACCACTAAGTTGTGTTGATGTGTGCACCACTAAGTTGTGTTGATGTGTGAACCACTAAGTTGTGTTGATGTGTGCACCACTAAGTTGTGTTGATGTGTGCACCACTAAGTTGTGTTGATGTGTGCACCACTAAGTTGTGTTGATGTGTGCACCACTAAGTTGTGTTGATGTGTGAACCACTAAGTTGTGTTGATATGTGAACCACTAAGTTGTGTTGATGTGTGCACCACTAACTTGTGTTGATGTGTGAACCACTAAGTTGTGTTGATGTGTGCACCACTAACTTGTGTTGATGTGTGAACCACTAAGTTGTGTTGATGTGTGAACCACTAAGTTGTGTTGATGTGTGCACCACTAAGTTGTGTTGATGTGTGAACCAATAAGTTGTGTTGATGTGTGCACCACTAAGTTGTGTTAATGTGTGAACCACTAAGTTGTGTTGATGTGTGCACCACTAAGTTGTGTTGATGTATGAACCACTAAGTTGTGTTGATGTGTGAACCACTAAGTTGTGTTGATGTGTGAACCACTAAGTTGTGTTGATGTGTGCACCACTAAGTTGTGTTGATGTGTGAACCACTAAGTTGTGTTGATGTGTGAACCACTAAGTTGTGTTGATATGTGCACCACTAAGTTGTGTTGATGTGTGAATCACTAAGTTGTGTTAATGTGTGCACCACTAAGTTGTGTTGATGTGTGAACCACTAAGTTGTGTTGATGAGTGCACCACTATGTTGTGTTGATGTGTGAACCACTAAGTTGTGTTGATGTGTGAACCACTAAATTGTGTTGATGTGTGCACTAAGTTGTGTTGATGTGTGAACCACTAAGTTGTGTTGATGTGTGAACCACTAAGTTGTGTTGATGTGTGAACCACTAAGTTGTGTTGATGTGTGCACTAAGTTGTGTTGATGTGTGAACCACTAAGTTGTGTTGATGTGTGAACCACTAAGTTGTGTTGATGTGTGCACCATTAAGTTGTGTTGATGTGTGCACCACTAAGTTGTGTTGATGTGTGCACCACTAAGTTGTGTTGATGTGTGCACCACTAAGTTGTGTTGATGTGTGAACCACTAAGTTGTGTTGATGTGTGCAACACTAAGTTGTGTTGATGTGTGAACCACTAAGTTGTGTTGATGTGTGCACCACTAAGTTGTGTTGATGTGTGAACCACTAAGTTGTGTTGATGTGTGCACCACTAAGTTGTGTTGATGTGTGAACAACTAAGTTGTGTTGATGTGTGAACCACTAAGTTGTGTTGATGCGTGCACCACTAAGTTGTGTTGATGTGTGCACCACTAAGTTGTGTTGATGTGTGAACCACTAAGTTGTGTTGATGTATGAACCACTAAGTTGTGTTGATGTGTGCACCACTAAGTTGTGTTGATGTGTGCACCACTAAGTTGTGTTGATGTGTGCACCACTATGTTGTGTTGATGTGTGCACCACTAAGTTGTGTTGATGTGTGCACCACTAAGTTGTGTTGATGTGTGCACTACTAAGTTGTGTTGATGTGTGAACCACTAAGTTGTGTTGAAGTGTGCACCACTAAGTTGTGTTGATGTGTGAACCACTAAGTTGTGTTGATGTGTGCACCACTAAGTTGTGTTGATGTGTGAACCACTAAGTTCTGTTGATGTGTGCACCACTAAGTTGTGTTGATGTGTGCACCACTAAGTTGTGTTGATGTGTGAACCACTAAGTTGTGTTGATGTGTGCACCACTAAGTTGTGTTGATGTATGAACCACTAAGTTGTGTTGATGTGTGAACCACTAAGTTGTGTTGATGTGTGAACCACTAAGTTGTGTTGATGTGTGCACCACTAAGTTGTGTTGATGTTTGAACCACTAAGTTGTGTTGATGTGTGAACCACTGAGTTGTGTTGATGTGTGCACCACTAAGTTGTGTTGATGTGTGAACCACTAAGTTGTGTTAATGTGTGCACCACTAAGTTGTGTTGATGTGTGAACCACTAAGTTGTGTTGATGTGTGCACCACTAAGTTGTGTTGATGTGTGAACCACTAAGTTGTGTTGATGTGTGCACCACTAAGTTGTGTTGATGTGTGAACCACTAAGTTGTGTTGATGTGTGCACCACTAAGTTGTGTTGATGTGTGCACCACTAAGTTGTGTTGATGTGTGCACCACTAAGTTGTGTTGAT